GGCGCCTGTAGTCCCAGCTACTCAGGAGGCTGAGGCAAGAGAATCACCTAAGCCCAAGAGCTGGAGGTTGCTGTGAGTGGTGACTCCACGGCACTCTACCAAGGGCAACAAAGTGAGACTCTGTGTCTAAAAAAAAAATGTGCATTTCAGATTATAAAACTTTTATAGAATTACATCAAAGTTACACTTCATTCTTCTGTCTGCACATCTGATTTTTTTTTAACTTTTCATCTTGCTAGGCACATACCATGTTATTTTAGATGAAAGCCATTACAAAGAATTGCTAACACATTATGTTAGTCCTCCACCTGCCAGCTCGAATTCTGAATGCTCACTTATTCGTATGGGTAAGTATTTACTTTATGGCTTTTAAGAATATATATTTTGGCCCAACCTAAACTTTCTGTTTTCATTTGTACAAGCTATCATTTTAATGTTTAAGAATTTCTTAAACTTGGGCAGCGCCTGTGGCTCAGTGACTAGGGTGCCAGCCCCATACACCAAGGGTGGCGGGTTGGAACCCAGCCCCAGCCAAACTGCAACAAAAAATAGCTGGGCATTGTGGTGGGCGCCTATAGAGCCAGCTACTCAGGAGGCTGAGGCAAGAGAATCACCTAAGCCCAAGAGCTGGAGGTTGCTGTGAGTTGTGACACCATTACACTCTACTGAGGGGGACAAAGTGAGACTCTGTCTCTTAAAAAAAACAAAAAAATTCTTAAACTTAAATGTTTTATAATTAGGAAAAATAATGCTTATTGAAGCCATTTTGGAAAATGGAAATAAACAGAAAATTAAGACTTCCTATAGTCTTTGTTTTACTTCCTGTAGTCTTGTCACCTAGAGAACACTATTGCATTTATTTTAAGACTAGAAAGATATAAAGACACTGTATTTATAGAGTACATTTCTTTTTGTCTTTTTGAGATAGAGTCTCACTGTCTCCCTAAGTAGAGTGCCATGGTGTCATCCTAGCTCATAATAATCTCAAACTCTTGGGCTCAAGCAATGCTCTTGCCTCAGACTCCTGAGTAGCTGGAACTATAAGCACCTACTGTGATGCCTGACTTTTTTTTTTTTTTTTATTGAATGGTAACTATGTACATTAATGCACTTCTGGGGTACAGTGTGGGGTTTTCACATGCAATCCGAAATACTTCCATCAAACTGGTCAACAGAGCCTTCATGTCATTTTCTCAGTTATTATTTTAAAACGTTCACATTCTACTCTTAGAAAGATTCACTTGTACTTCTGTAAGATAAACCTCAGAAGTGATCCCTCCTGCCTGGCTATTTTTTTCTAATTTTTTTTTAATTTTTGAAACTCTTTTGTGGAGATTGGAGTCTTGCTGTATTATTCAGGCTTGTCTTGTGCTACTGGTCTCAATCAATCCTCCTGCCTCAGCCTCCCAAAGTGCTAGGATTAGAGGCATAAGCCATTGAGCCCAGCCTGGATCTTTTTATTTTTTTTATCTTACTACAAGATCCAAGGCCTAGGCTCAGCGCCCATAGCACAGTGGTTATAGCACTAGCCACCTGTACCAAGGCTGGTGGATTCAAACCTGGCCCACGCATGCTGAACAACAATGATAAATGCAACAAAAAGTAGCCAGACATTGTGGTGGGTGCCTGTGGTTCCAGCTACTCAGGAGGCTGAGGCGAGAGAATCACTTAAGCCCAAGAGTTTTAGGTTGCTGTGAGCTATGATGCCACAGCACTCTATGCAAGGTGACATAGTGAGACTTAGTCTCAGGGCAGGGAAGATCCAAGGCCTGGGTCATCTTAAAAAAAAAAAAAATTGGGGCTCAGTGCCTATGCCTGAAGTGGCTAAGGCGCCAGCCACATACACCTAAGGTGGCAGGTTCGAATCCAGCCTGGGCCTGCCAAATAACAATGACGGCTGCAACCAAAAAGTAGCCAGGCGTTGTGGTGGGTGCTTATGGTCCCAGCTACTTGGGAGGCTGAGGCAGGTGACTCATTTGAGCCTAGGAGTTGGAGGTTGCTATGAGCTGTGATGGAGTTGGAGGTTGCTATGAGCTGTGATGCCACGGCACTCTACCCAGGGGGACAGCTTGAGGCTCTGTCTAAAAAAAAAAAAAAAATTTGTTTTCCTCTATTTTCCAAAAATTTTATAAGGAACATTTATTCCATTTATATTGAAAAAGGTAGAACTTTTAAATATAAAAGGAATCTTACTTGCTTAGTATGCTTGTTTTTAAAATGTCAGCGAGATGAAATGCTTTTGGCCATTTACAGGGTCTGACAGTTGAGTTCACAAACTCATCCTAGAAAACATCACTATAGTCACCTTTGAAGTACTGCCCTGGGGAAGCTATACACTGATGCCAGCACCAAAGCCACCCTTCAAAACAATTTTGGAAATCTTTTTCTGGAATGACCATCAGAGCTATCATTGTTTGGTTGCACACAAAAACATGCAACCACAATATGAACAACACTGAGTTAGACACTGCCACTCATTGATGCAAACACAGCTGAGAGACACTGATATACCAAGGTTATGAAATCTTACCAAATTGTTTGTACAGTGCTGCCAGCGTAAGTGCATGGTGGCAAGTTCATGAACTTAATTGTCAGACCTGGCATTGATGTGTAGTGAGGAGGACTGCTTCTAAGGTGACCATAGTGATATTGAGCAATGAGGTATGTGGCACTTGTTCTAGAATAAGTTTGCAAACTTAATTCTCTGACCTCTTATGTTCCTCTGTTGCCTCTGATCAACCTTTTTCCTCTGTTTTCTTTCTTATCTGCAAAATAATATCAGTATATACCTCCTTGTGTATTGAAAGGATTGAGTTAATACAGATGAAGCATTTAGAATAATGCTTAATGTAGACATTCAGTGTATTTTACATGTTATATTGGCTAATCTTTTTTTATTTACTGATATATTTCCTTAGCCTTTTGGGTTTTTTTTGTTGTTGTTGTTTGTTTTTTTGAAGCAGAGTCTCACTTTGTCGCCCCTGGTAGAGTGTCATAGCTCACAGCAACCTCAGACTCTTGGGCTGAAGTGATTCTCATGTCTCAGCCTCCCAAGTAGCTGGGACTACAGGTGCCCACCACAACACTTCTAGTGACAGGGTCTTGCTCTAGCTCAGGCTGGTCTTGAACTTGTGAGCTTAGGCCATCTGTCTGCCTGGGCCTCCCAGAGTGCTGGGATTACAGGTGTGAGCCACTGCTCCCAGCCCTTGGCCTATTTTATTTTATTTTATTTTATTTTTATTATTATTTTTTGAGACAAGAGTTTCACTTTGTTGCCATGGGTAGAGTGCCATGGCGTCATAGCCACAGCAATCTCAAATTCCTGGGCTTAAACGATTGACTTGCCTCAGCCTCCTGAGTAGGTGGGACTACAGTAGGCACCTCCCTATCACCAGCTACTTTTTAGAGATAGCATTTCTCTTCTGCTCAGGCTGGTCTTGAACCTGTGAGCTCAAGTAATCCACCTGCCTTGGCCTCCCAGAGTGCTAAGATTGTAGGCCTGAGCCACTGGGCCTAGCCCTCCTTGGCCCATTTTAAAGATATTATTTAAACGTACAATTTATTGAAGTCTTTGAGGAATACCAGCCCTGTCTCAATCATCTGACAAATATTTTTCCAATTGGTTATTTACTTTCATTTATTTGTTTTGATATGTAGATAGTAGATTTAAAATATTTATGTGATTAAATTTCTTTTTTAAATGGTTTCTGCTTTTCTTGGGCATATTTTCAGAATTTAAAATTATATATGGAAAACAAATTACATGAAAGATTTGGTATTCCAGCTCGGCGCCTGAGGCTCAAGTGGCTAAGGCACCAGCCACGTACACCTAAGGTGGCAGATTCAAATCCAGCCTGGGCCCGCCAAACAACAATGACGGCTGCAACCAAAAAAATAGCTGGGCATTGTGGTGGGCACCTGTGGTTCCAGCTACTTGGGAGGCTGAGGCAGGAGACTTGCTTGAGCCCAGGAGTTGGAGGTTGCCGTGAGCTGTGATGCTACGGCACTCTACCCAGGGGGACAGCTTGAGGCTCTGTCTTAAAAAGAAAAAAAAAAGATTTGGCATTCCACAATTTTAAACATAGAAGTATATGCTTAAAGTGAAGGTGAGCTATGTAACATAAGCTTTAGTGGTATCAGAAACTATGTAAAAATTTATAAAATTTTTCTTTTTAAAAGGCCGTGTTAATCTTTATTAACTTAGAAAATACAGGTATGAATGCTAACTTCTGCGGTCATGTGTGTAGACAGTTCTTTCCTTCATTTTCTCTACTTTTGTAACTTGTTATTATGGTCATTTTTATCATGGTATATATAATAAGCATGTCTAAGAGGCAGGAAAGAGTTTTTGTACAATTATGTTAGCTTTTGGATAAGAACATTTTTTAGGTTCCTAGTCTAGAATTCTGTTCTTTCTTTGGAAAAAGAAAGTAATACATTTTCTTTCTTTTTTTTAAATATATATTCTTATATGAAGGATTTCCTCAGCACACCATTGCTTCTTTGTCTGATCAAGATGCAAAACCCTCTTTCAGCATGGCGTAAGTAAAGACCTTGAAGTTGTCAGTACTGTTTTTACATTTTTAACTCTTTCCTTTAAGTTATAATTTAAAAAGATGGTCTTAAAATGTAATGGCTTTTGTAAAAGATTGTGTTTTGTTCAGGTGTAAAAAGGAATAAGGACTCTTTATATATCTAGGGCATAATCTTCAGAATATATTACTAAGTAAAACAGTAAGATAAAGAGAAATTTGTAGTATCTAAGAAACGGGTGGAGACATGAGTAGATAGACATACTCTACCAAGAAGGGTTGGTGATGACATTGCCAAGGCAACCAGTGACTGGAAGGGTCTGAGAATTACAGTGAAACTGACTATCTAGAATAGGCCTGGATTGAAGTGCCTCTGCCCTCATCATCAAAGCCCTCAAGGAACCACTGAGAGACAGAAAGGAGCAGAAAAACATTAAACACAACTGAAATATTACTTTCTTTTTTTTTTTGAGACAGGAGCCTCAAACTGTCCTCCTGGGTTGAGTGCTGTGGCATCACAGCTCACAACAACCTCCAACTCCTGGGCTCAAGCTAGTCTCCTGCCTCTGCCTCCCAATCCCAAATAGCTGGGACCACAGACGCCCGCCACAATGCCTGGCTAATTTTTTGGTTGCAGCCGTCATTGTTGTTTGGCCGGGTTGGGCTGGATTCGAACCTGCCACCTTAGGTGTATGTGACTGGCGCCTTAGCCACTTGAGCCACAGGTGATGAGCCCGAAGTATTACTTTCAATGAGATTGTTAACATTGCCAGACAGATGCGGCACCAGTCTTTAACCAGAGAACTCTTTGGAAATATTAAAGAGATCTGGCTCGGCGCCTGTGGCTCAAGTGGCTAAGGCGCCAGCCACATATACCTAAGGTGGCGGGTTCGAATCCCCAGCCTGGGCCCGCCAAACAACAATGATGGCTGCAACCAAAAAATGGCCAGGCGTTGTGGCGGGTGCCTGTAGTCCCAGCTACTTGGGAGGCTGAGGCAGGAGACTCGCTTGAGCCCAGGAGTTGGAGGTTGCTGTGAGTGTGATGCCATGGCACTCTACCCAGGGGGATAGCTTGAGGCTCCGTCTCAAAAAAAAAAAAAAAAAAGAAAAAAAGAAATATTAAAGAGATCTTGGGGATGGCCCAGTTGGTGGGCTGCAATGTTAATGGCCGCCACCCTGATGACATCATGGATAACATCAACAGCGGACCCATAGAATGCCTAGTTGTTAAAAAGTACAAAGGAAAATGTTTCGGGTGACACCCATAGCTCATTGGGTAGGGCGTTGGCCACATGCACTAGGGCTGGTGGTTTAGAACCCAGCCCCAGCCTGCTAAAACAAACAAAAAAGTAGCTGGGCATTGTGGCGGGCACCTATAGTCCCAGCTACTTGGGAGGCCGAGGCAAGAGAATTGCTTAAGCCCAAGAGTTGAGGTTGTGAGTTGTGACACCATGGCACTCTACCCAGGGTGACAGCTTAAGACTCTATCTCAAAAAAAAAAAAAAAGAGAGATGTACTCAGATTTCTAAATAAAATTTTAAGCAAGTTTTAAAATAGACTCAAGGTTTTAAGATCAAAGTAGCATAATTTCTTTAGCTCTTTTTGTATCTTTATATATCACCTTTCTAAAGTAATTTTTTTCTCCACAGGCATTTGGATAGCAATTCTGAGCCAGGGCTTACATTAGGAGGCTACTTCTGTCCACAGTGTCGGGCAAAGTACTGTGAGCTACCTGTTGAATGTAAAGTCTGTGGT